CCCTCCGCGACCAGCTCCCGCCAGGCGGCCGAGCCCTAGCGGAGCGCCATGGACTCGGCGGTGCTCCCGCGCACCTGCGCCGGCCTCGGCGGCGGCGCCCCAAAGGAGGAGGACGACGACGGAGGCGCCGGCGGCTACGTCAAGGGCGAGCACTGCCTCGGTACCCCACCCCAACGCCCCTACTCTCGCGCCTCACCTCCGGCCTTTCGCTGTTCGCCGACTCCCGCTGCGCGTTTGTGCTGACAATCTGAAGGATCTGCAGAGGCTGCTGCGGCGGGAGGTCTTCAGGCAGGTCCGCGAGTGGAAGTTCGCGTCCAGGGGTCCGGCGCCCATCATCGAGAGCCACCAGTCCGACCGCAACCTCGGCATCACGGCAGGTAGAATTTTCATTCCCTCGCTGAAGCTCTGCAATTAGTGTGATTTAATAACTACGTACAGTAATTTGTAGTTGCTCGCTATTAAGTCTAGCCTGCATTTTCAGGCGCAGAAGGAGAATGCTGCACGGGTTAAGCGGTGAGCATGACAGCATCGATAATCGTCCAGTATCATCTGATGAAGAAACATTGCAAGCACGCAAGCGCAGGTAATTTCCTGCATGGAGTTGCTTACACGAGTTAATTGAAATTCTATTGGTGTGATATGTTTTTCTTTGAGTTTGTTACTGTTGATGAACAATATGCAAAGCTTTGTGTGTGCTCTAAAAAGACTGTTTTACTCTTAAAAGGCCTTTTATACCAGAAAGTATGATTGCTGACAAATGCCTGATTTTTTTTCCATTATGTAATCTAAATCATGACATTTAGATATTTTTGTTTACCTTTATTTGAAGTTCCAGTGATTATGCTGGAAATGCCATGGGATATGTATGCACAAACATTTGTTTTTGCAGAACAGCATCACATTATTAGGCATTGTCTAAAATTTATTCTTTTGACATACTACATGGCATGTATTGTGATGTTGGTTTTTTACTTTCTTCATAGGCAAACATATAACTAATTTAGGACTGCAGGTTGCATTTTCCCTCGCCAAGAATTGAGTGCAAACATGCCACAGATATATGAAGTTATTTATGTTGCCTTGTCCGTTTTGATGTCTTGAGTGTTTCCTTTCATCTATTGCAGAACCAAAACTAAGGAGCTACCAGCGGTGGATCTTTCACCAAGTATATCACAACATCAAGAGACTTTGCAAGGCACGGATTCTGATGATGACACCATAGGATGTATGCTTAGGTGAGCTCATTCGGCTTTATAGACATCAAGGACTGATTATTGAATGCTCCCTAGGTGAGTATTATAAAGGTCCAGATGTGTCATTTTTCCTCAGTGGCCGTGAACCTGTAGTACATGCTCAACAGTCAGTTATGTATAGTTATCAGAAAGATGGGATGCATAACTTAGCAGAGCAAAGATGTTCAAACTAGTACATATGTTGCCCTAAGCACATCATGATTAGAAATTAGTGTGATCTAGTAACTAATTGGTAGTTACTCGCCAAGTCGCCATTAAGTCTAGCCTGCATTTTCAGGCACATAAGGAAAAGGCTGGATGGGTTAAGCAGGAAGTATGACAACAACGATAATCATCCAATATCATCTGATGAAGAAACATTGCAAGCACGCAAGTTCAGGTAATTTCCTGTATGGAGTTGTTTACATGAGTTAATTCTATTGGCGTGATATGTTTTTCTTAGTTTGTTACTGTTAATGAAAGATATGCAAAGTTTTTGTCTGTGCTCTGGAAAGACTGTCTTACTATTAGAAGGCCTTTTATATGAGAAAGTATGATTGCTGACAAATGCCTGGAAATCGGCAGATATATTTTTGGTTAATTTCATTTTAAGTTGCCATTGATTAGATTAGGATACCCTCTATAATTTAGGAGTCTAGGTTGCATTTTCTTTGATCAGAATTGAGTGCAAACATGCCACAGATATATGAAGTTATTTATGCTGCCTTGTCTGTTTTGATGTCCTCAATGTTTCCCTTCATCTATTGCAGAACCGAAACTAAAGAGCTGCCGTTGACGGATCTTTCACCGAGTATATCACAGCATCAAGAGACTTCGCAAGGCACAGATTCTGATGGCGAGACCATAGGATCAATGCTTAGGTGAGCTCATCTGGTTTTATACACATCAAGAACAAACCACTGAATGTTCAGCAGCTGATATTATAGAGGACCAGCTGCGTCATTCTTCCTCAACAATCAATTTTGTATAGTTATCAGTAAGATGGGCTGCATAACTTAGCAGGCCAAAGATGTCAAAACTAGTACATCAGTTGCCGTAAGCACATCATGAAAATATATTAGTGTGATCTCATAACTAATTGGTAGTTACTCGCCATTAAGTCTAGCCTGTATTTTCAGGCGCACAAGGAAAAGGCTGGATGGGGTAAGCAGGAAGTATGACAACAACGATAATCATCCAGTATCATCTGATGAAGAAACATTGCAAGCACGCAAGCGCAGGTAATTTCCTGCATGGAGTTGCTTACATGAGTTAATTCTATTGGCGTGATATGTTTTCTTTGAGTTTGTTACTGACACTGTTAATGAAAGATATGCAAAGCTTTTGTCTGTGCTCTGAAAAGACTGTCATACTATTGAAAGGCCTTTTATGTCAGAAAGTATGATTGCTAACAAATGCCCGGAGATTCTGCAGAGATATTTTTGGTTAATTTTATTTTAGGCTGCTATTGATTATGCTGGAAATGCCCTGAGATGTATGAGCAAACATTTGTTTCTGCAAAACAACATCACATTCTTTGGTCCTGTATGAGATTTATTCTTTTGATTACTTTCCATAGCATGTTTCTGATGTTCTTTTTTTAGTTTCGTCGTAGGCAAATGTGGAAATAATTTAGGACTCTAGGTTTCATTTTCCCTTGCTAAGAACTTTTAGCTTCGTCATAGACAAATGTGGAAATAATTTAGGACTATAGGCTGCATTTTCCCTTGCTAAGAACTGAGTGCAAACATGCCACAGATACATGCATTATTTGTGTTGCCTTGTCCGTTTTGATGTCCTGAGTGTTTACCTTCATCTATTGCAGAACCAAAACTAAGGAACTGTCATTGGAGAATCTTTCACCGATCACATCACAGCATCAAGAGACTTCACAAGGCACGCATTCTGACGATGAGACCATAGGACATGTGCTTAGGTGAGCTCATTTGGCTTTATATACATCAAGAACTGATTACTGAATGTTCATCAGGGGAGTATTCTAAAGGACCAGCTGTCTCATTCTTTCTTAGTGGCCGTGAACACGTGTTACATGCTCAACAATGGGTCATGTATAGTTATCAGTAAGATGGGATGCATAACTAGCAGGCCAAAGTTGTCAAAACTAGTACATACATGGTCGTAAGCACATTGTGAAAAGAAATCAGTGCATTTAATAATTAATTGGTACTGTAGTTACTTGCTATTAAGTCTAGCCTGCATTTTTTTCAGGCGCACAAGGAAAAGGCTGCTTGTGTTAAGCCATAAGAATGATAACGGCGATAATCATTCAATATCATCTGATGAAGAAACATTGCAATTACGTAAGCGCAGGTAATTTCCTGCATATAGTTGCTTTCATGAGTTAATTCTACTGGCGTGATATGTTTTTCTTTCAGTTTGTTCCTGTCAATGAAAGATATGTAACGCTTTTGTGTGTGTGCTCTAAAAAAGAATTTTTTACCATTAAAAGGCTTCTATATTAGAAGTATGTTTTCTGACAAATGCACGGCAATTTTGCCAGTATGCAATCTAAACCGTTAAATGCAGATATTTTTGTTAACTTATTTGAAGTTGCCAGTGTTATGCTGGAAATGCCATAGAATGTATGAACAAACATTTGTTTCTGCAAAAACAACATCACATTATTTGGTCTTGCATGACATTTATTCTTTTGAGTACACTCCATAGCATGTATTGTGATGTTCGTCTTTTAGTTTTGTCACCGGCAAATGTGCAACTAATTTAGGACTCTAGGTTGCATTTTTCCCTTGATAAGAATTGAGTGCAAACATGCCACAGACATATGAAGTTATTTATGCTGCCTTGTCTGTTTTGATGTCCTGAATGTTTCCCTTCATCTATTGCAGAACCGAAACTAAAGAGCTGCCGTTGATGGATCTTTCACCGAGTATATCACAGCATCAAGAGACTTCGCAAGGCACAGATTCTGATGGCGAGACCATAGGATCAATACTTAGGTGAGCTCATTCGGTTTTATACACATCAAGAACTGAATGTTCATGATGCCAATTGTTAAAACTCATTGAATTATATGCTATGATTTTCTTCCCTCAACACATTTTACTAGGACTAACTACTTTTGTTTTTAAACAGTAGAGGAAAGAAGAAAAGGTTATCCACATCAGATGTTACAGAGAATAAACAAGAACACCTAGATTCTTTGAAGAACATTGGTCTGGGGGTTGAGACTATCGGTTCAAATATGATGTAAGCTCGTATAAGTTATTTACCTCACATGCTTGGAATAGCTTAATGTTCATGTTTTCTCATATATTGTTTCCATATTATGCACTTATGCCTAGTGAAAGCTGAAAAGATGTAGACATCTTACTATAGCATGTGCAATAATGATTACTATAGTACTTGACGCTGCCTTGTCCGTTTTGATGTCCTGAGTGTTTCCTTTCATCTATTGCAGAACCAAAAATAAGGAGCTGCCATCTGTGGATCTTGCACCAAGTATATCACAGCATCAAGAGACTTCGCAGGGCACAGATTCTGATGATGCGACCATAGGATCTCTGCTTGGGTGAGCTCATTCAGCTTCATATACACCAAGAACTGATTACTGAATGTTCATGATGCCAATTGTTAAACTCAACGATTTATATGCTATGATTTTCTTCCCTCAACACATTTGAATGAGACGAATTACTTTTATTTTAAACAGTAGAGGAAAGAAGAAAAGGTTATCAACGTCAGATATTACAGAGAATAAACAAGAAGACCTAGATTCTTCGAAGAACATTGGTCTGGGCGTTGAGACTATCGGTTCAAATGCCATGTAAGCTCATATGAGTTATCTATCTCACATACTTGGAATAGCTTAATATTCAAGGGTGTATGTTTTCTCTTATATTGTTTCCATATTATGCACTTATGCCTAGTGAAAACTGAAAACAGGTAGACATCAATAACCAGTGAGAGTACCTTACTATGTCATGTTCAATAATGATTACTATAGTACTTGATGCTGCCTCCTGTTTTGACATACTGAGTGTTTCCCTTCATCTATTGCAGAACCAAAAATAAGGCGCTGCCGTCCGTGGATCTTGTACCGAGTATATCACTGCATCAAGAGACTTTGCAGGGCACAGATTCTGATGATGAGACGATAGGATCTCTGCTTAGGTAAGCTCATTCAGCTTCATATACATCAAGAACTGAATGTTCATGATGCCAATTGTTAAAACTCATTGATTTATATGCTATGATTTTCTTCCCTCAACACATTTTACTAGGACTAACTACTTTTGTTTTTAAACAGTAGAGGAAAGAAGAAACGGTTATCGACATCAGATGTTACAGAGAATAAACAAGAACACCTAGATTCTTCGAAGAACATTGGTCTGGGGGTTGAGACTATCGGTTCAAATATCATGTAAGCTCGTATAAGTTACTTACCTCACGTACTTGTAATAGCTTAATATTCTATGTTTTCTCATATATTGTTTCCATATTATGCACTTATGCCTAGTGAAAGCTGAAAAACATGTAGACATCTTAGTATAGCATGTGCAATAATGATTACTATAGTACTTGACGCTGCCTTGTCCATTTTGACATACAGAGTGTTTCCCTTCATATATTGCAGAACCAAAAATAAGGAGCTGCCATCCGTGGATCTTGCACCAAGTATATCTGAACATCAAGAGACTTCGCAGGGCACTGATTCTGATGATGTGACCATAGGATCTCTGCTTGGGTGAGCTCATGCATACACCAAGAACAGATTACTGAATGTTCATGATGCCAATTGTTAAACTCAATGGTTTATATGCTATGATTTTCTTCCCTCAACACATTTGAATGAGACTAATTACTTTTATTTTTAAAACAGTAGAGGAAAGAAGAAAAGGTTATCAATGTCAGATATTACAGAGAATAAACAAGAAGACCTAGATTCTTTGAAGAACATTGGTCCCGGCGTTGGGACTATTGGTTCAAATGCCATGTAAGCTCATATGAGTTATTTACCTCGCATACTTGGAATAGCTTAATGTTCAAGGGTGTATGTTTTCTCTTATATCGTTTCCATATTATGCACTTATGCCTAGTGAAAACTGAGAACAGGTAGACATCAATAACCAGTGAGAGTACCTTACTATATCATGTCCAATAATGATTACAATAGTACTTGATGCTGCCTTGTCTGTTTTGATGTATTGAGTTTTTCCCTTCATCTATTGCAGACCCAAAAATAAGGAGCTGGCCTTGGTGGATCTTCCACTGGGTATATCACAGCATCAAGAGGCTTCACAGGGCACAGATTCTGATGATGAAACCATAGGATCTCTGCTTAGGTGAGCTCATTCAGCTTTACACATTAAGAACTGAGTATTGGATGTTCATGATGCTAATTATTAAACATCATCAGTTTATATGCTATGAGTTTCTTCCTTTGCACACATTTGACTGGACCAGTTCCTTCTACTTTTAAACAGCATAGGAAAGAAAAGAAGGTTATCTACATCAGATGTTACAGAGAACAGACAAGAACACCAAGATTCTTCGAAGAACATTGTTCCGGACATGGATACTATCGGTTCAAATGTCATGTAAGCTCATTTAAGTTATTTACCTGACATACTTGGTATAGCTTAATATTGTTTTGAGGTAGAATAGCTTGATATCTGAGGGCGTCTATGCTGTTTCTGATACACGCACTTTTGCCTAGTGAAAGCTGAAACAGGCAGGCGTCAATAACCATCGATAGTACATTAATTACTATAATATGTGAAATTATGATTTTGTTCTGAATGATTATGAAATGAACTTCACTTTTCAGGGACGCCCCTCTCCATCCGGAGCTGAACTCATCTAATGATAACGTTGGTGATGCTGAACTTCTGGATGACTTGAGTGAGCCTGAGCTGGATGGTCGTGAAGATACCGAGAAAAAAATCATCGACGACAGAGACATGCCTGAATCTGGGGACATGACAGGCTCTAATGCCGGTCAGAAGGCTGGTTTGAAAAGAAGACAGAGAATGGTAATTGACGACGATGACGACGAGTAGTTTACTTGAAATTATTTAGTGAAAAGTCGGACACTGCAGCTGTTTGGAGTAGATGTTGTGGTACTGCTATGGTGAGGAGACATGCTTCTGAGTTTGGGGCTGGAATTTGGCAGTAAGCAGATGCAACCTGAGGTTGCCAGGCTCTTGTTTTTGTACATGATTTATTTTCCAAGTTGGCCCTGGTGTCTCTCCGGCCAGTGCTGCCATATTTCCAAATGTACTAGCCAATCGCATTATGGCTCTATGGGGACACGGTGCTCTCTTTGTTTAGCTTGCATGATTCATTCTCTACGATAATGAAGAGTGCATCTTGATGTCGATGTGATTCATCTCGAGAGCTACACCAAGAACAATGTTGTCTTCAAAGGCAGGTCTACTAGATTCCTTCTTTGGCGTAGCAACTGAAGCACCATCTCCTTGTCCTTCGGATCCCTGAGCCTTCCCTTCATCAGCCTTGGAAGTAGTAGACGCAACGGGATCTGCCCATGGAGTTGTGGGAGATGGTATTGTTGTTTTCACATGATCCTTCTTCAACCCAGCATCGTCAACATGAACCAATTTTTTCTCCTCCTGCTTCTCCGAGTTGTTTAAACTAGAACCATCTGCTGGCTGTAACCAGCTTGAAGACGCGCTCTAGTTATTATATTATAAAAAGATGGAAATTGGGAAATCGAATCAACAAACGGTCCCATGGTCTAGTGGTTAGGACATTGGACTCTGAATCCAGTAACCCGAGTTCAAGTCTCGGTGGGACCTCTTTTTTGTATCCAATTTTTCTGTGCTCGAACAAATTGGCCTTTAGTAGAAAATGTGGGACCTGTTATTTTTTTGTATCATTTTTATGTGCTTGAACAAATTGTGATTTTTTTTGCGGTTGAACAAATTGTGATTTTGTTTTGAATAATGATGGAATGAACAAATTGTTTTTGTTTTGTTTTGAATGTCAGTCATAACACTGGTTTGAAAAGAAGTCACAGAATGGTAATTGACGACGACGACGACGAGTAGTTTACTTGGAATTGGCGAGTGAAAAGTGGGATACTGCAGCTGTTTGGAGTAGGCGGTCTGCTACTGCTATGGTGACTTGGGAGCAGGAAATTGGCAGTAAGCAGATGCATATTGAGGTGGACGGGGTCCCACCTGTCGGCCACACGTCTTTTTTCCCCTTCTCCTTTCTGTCCCGGCGCGAGAAGTAGAAGCAAGCGGCGTGAGTAGGCAACAAACGGACGCGGGAGCAGGCGGATCGACTCAAAAGGGAGCCGCTGCGTTGACCAACTGCTGCTAGCTGGCGGTGTCGGTGCGATTCGACGGGAGACGGACTGGAGAGCGGCGGCGTTGACCTGGCCGGGGCAGATCGATTCATCGGCGTACAGACGTGCTCGGAGTGACTCTGGCCGGCAATGGCGACGCCGGCCTCTACCTCGGCCCAGGCTGGACGGGCCGCGGCGACGGTGTCCTCTGCCTCGGCCCGGGGCAGGACGAGCGGCGGCCTCAGACTTGACCGTGGCCGACGACGGATCTGTCTCGCTGGAGTGGGCCGGTGGTGAGGGAGAGAAAATTGTGGGGAGGAAGGAGATAAGAGGTGTGGCTTACAGGTGGGCCCCCATGCACCTCAGCAAGCCAAACACCGACTAAGACTAGTCTTTGCCACATCAGCCCGTACAGACGGGTCCCACCTGTCAGTTTTGTCGTTAGTCACGATCAAGTCTGATTTAGTGCATATTATTATTCACTTGTCACAGAAGTGATGGTCTTTCGTGATTTTTGACAAAAACCGTAGTTTTACAGCATCCTAGTCACAAATGTGATGGCTTTGAGCAATTTACTCCCATATTTTCAAATGTACTCCCTCCGTAAAAAAATATAAACGCTCTTATATTTCTTTACGGAGGGAGTACCAGCCAATTAATCATCGCATTATGTCTGTCTGAGAAGTGGGAACACAATGCTCTCTTATTTAACTTGCATGATTCATTCTCCATGATAATGAAGAGTGCCTCTTGATGTTCGATCGATGCGATTTTTGCAATTGGAGACATGTAACACTAAATTACTCAGAGGTAATGAATGTCATTCAGAATAACAAACTGAAAACTCTGCAACACTTGATTCAAAAGAATTCACACCAGTAACCGGCGAGAGTACCATGCTGTAGTACGTGCAATGATTATCCAACTGTAAACTGAACTTCTCACTTTTCAGGGACGCCCCTCTCCATCCGAATTTGAAATAACTGACGCGCTCTAGTTATTATATTAGAAAATGGAAAATTGGGAAATCAAACCAACAAATGGTCCCATGGTCTAGTGGTTAGGACATTGGACTCTGAATCCAGTAACCCGAGTTCAAGTCTCGGTGGGACCTCTTTTTTTCCGTCCTGAAAAAACATGACATTCCCCTCTTCTTTTCATGAAAAATGTTACTGTTTGATCATATCTTTATCGGAATGTATTATTTCTACTTTCTTATTTGGTTCGTCGCTATTGTTTTGAATCTTATCAATAGTGTTTGTTCTATTTTGGTCTGCAATTTTCCATATGACAATACAATCATTCCATATTTCTTATTCACTAGAATAATTTTATCCGAATCAACATCGTCGTGTCTCCCGTATTTTTCAAACGCCATGCGATGTCGCTATTCCACATCTCGTTTTGTCCCAGATACGTGAATGATGTACCAAACTTCTTTTGGTCTTCTCATTGAAAATAGTTTCAGTGCTCGCTAACATAAAAGATAGTTGGATCACGACATACAATGATATGCGGTCCAGTCTGCTCGAGATGATATCTGCTCAGTTTCGTACTTTGCCTACGTGTTTGATACCACGCTTATCAAGGCAGGTGTCAACCAAAGCGAACCAACTTATGATTGGATGGTTAGAGGGACAGTGCTATTCCCAGCCCGACAGGGTTCAAGTCCTGGTGCTCGCATTATTTCTGGATTTATTTCAGTATTTTCGGCGATGCATCTTCAATGGAAGGAGACGTTCCCTTTGACGACGAGACGCCTACGGTGACTTTGTAAATCCCAAGATGATATGCCGACTCAGTCTCTTGAAGATGCTCATAGGGGTAGGATGTGCGTGCGTGCGTTCATAGTTCTGCAGGGCAGTTTCGATAGACCAAAGGCTCTTGGAGTTTGATATGGCTCATGGGAATTGTATCTGTTGTTTGGTTTGAACTTTCAAAAATGCGATAAGGGAAGTGCACCGGACGAGTGACAACTGTTTGTATTAGATAGCTAATGTTCTCTAATAGAACTATCACTAGTGCAGGAAGAAACATCCCATACAGTTGAAACCATTGATCTCATCGGCCTGTGTTTTGACCTAGTTTCTTGAATCGCATCAGACCTTGTTTAATCCATTTTGCTTGTGACGTAACCAGTTGCCACTTGGCGTCTTGGCCTAGGCATGGCCTGTTGTGGGACATGCTTGTTCTGAGTCTCAGTGCTCCATTTTCCCCTACAAAAATGTTGGCAAACAGACATATCAACTTGGACGTTATTAAGGAGCAAGCGATTGCTCCCTACCCATATCCAGCGTCGGTCCAAAATTAGACAATCGCTTCGCCCCCCATTGTCTCCTTTCCTTGCAAATGAGAAGCTTGACATGTCTCCTCTCGTTGATCTGAAGAAAGAGACTCTGAGTATCTCCAGGATGATCCATGATTTAAAATTTTGAAAATTAGTCGGCTTGCCAATGGGGTCACTCATGAGATTGCTAAGTTCACCCTTGGTACTAGATCTGATGGCCTTGTTAATAATTTTCCGCCCTGCTAGTGAATGATTTTTTAGCAAACTGTAATGAATGATTGTCATAACCTTTATAATTAATTAACATATGTTTTTTTAATAAAAGGCAACCAACACCCTACCTTTCCCTATTTCACGCCAAAACCTCTATGCAGGGCCAGTCTTGAGATTTCGAGGACTCGAGGTGAAACTAAAACCTCAGGGCCCTTAATATAAACATCAAATTAATGATCTGCATAATTTATATTAATGTCCCAATAAATAGTTAAAAGTTCATCCAAAAGATATATTTGCACCAAGTAGAGAACACCTAGCCTGAATATATGGACTGAGGGTAGTAATGGCTAAATTGTGATTGGTGTGCAAAATAGAGCAATAATAGATTCTTCTACGCTGAGACATATATTTAACAGTTCATTTGCTTGCAGTTAGAGCAACATGAGGTCAATATTAGGCATATGTTCACAATAACTTTAGGTGTTTATAGATAGTTTGGGAATTTCAGCATGGTTTCTATAATTTGACCTTATTATATAGAGACATTTGTCTAACGGGCAATGAACATGACAAACCAACAATATAGACCAGGTTTTGCAATTGCAATTGAGGCTCTTGGAGAAATATCCTCGTACCTAGACATTTTTAGGTTGAAATTTTACCAGTTGAAGGTGTGAAGCTTGACCTGCATACATGAACCCATCAACAAAACAATAGATTACAACTAATTAACCAAGAAAAACTGATATTTATATCATACCCTACATGACATGATTTCCCAAGTTGTAGACATTGGGGCGTCTATTTGGAGAGCTAGTGGATGACTAAATAGCTAGCAGACATCATACCTAATCAACTCTAGTCCTAGAAGATGGCTTGACATGCGTATGGGGCATCTCCGATAGCGCATAAGTAAGCATCAAGACAACAATGTATGGGACAATCTCTTCTTGGTTGGCGTGGGTTTTGATCGCCTTTCGCTTCCCGGCCTGCATTGCGCTGGTTTGGGCCTCCCTTGGTCTTGGGGGCCCGGGGCCGCCACCTCTCTTGCCCCCTCCAAGACCGGGCCTGCCTCCATCCCCCCTTGTAACAACCCAGGAAAAACCTAGGGTACAAAAGGCACGCGCCAGGGACAATACAACCCCCCCCCCAATCCTCCCCAGCCGCCGCCGTCGCCGCCGTACTATAGGCACCGGAGAAGAGGACGAAGAAAAGCCTCCTTAAGGAAATGGAAGCAAACAAGAACA